CTAGAAAAGGAAGAGTCTCTAGGTCCATTTAGGGTTCYTGGCCAGTGTGTACTGGCCTAAAACAGCCCCTCTGCAGGGGGATGACCAGCATTCTCCAGAGGGCCAGGTGGTTACCAAATGACACCAAACGTTGTTCTTTAATTCTGGAGCCCTGGAYAGCTCACGAGGCATGGAATTCTCTGCTTTAACCATTTCCTGATAGTGCAGACATTGCTAGGTGGGGGCATAGCACAGGACAGATCCATGCATASGAAAAACCCACATATAGGTAAATATCATTAATCTTTCTAATACTTAGAAAACTTGCAAAGGGAAGAATATTTATAAGCTCCTTTTTGTCCCATATATGTGAAGGATGCACCTGGATTTTTTGTTGCAATATTAAAAGTGTTCTTTCTTTTCTCTGACAAAGAGTTTTAATCTTTCCCTCCAAAGAAAGCAGCCTTAGGAACAATTTTTGTGCTCCTTGTTTTGGCTAGCTTGGACAAATTCTTTTCATTATTGACCTGAGTTACAAAATAATTTTTTCTACATATAATTTAACTGAGGGTGTTCAAGACTGGCAATCTCACAAATAGATCTGTATAATATAATCTATTGATATTTTTTCTATAACTCCTTTATCTCAAGTTCCCCAAAACAAAGTCCTTTAGCTGGAGTACMTGTAGTGTCAGGCATGGAATAAAGAATAGTCTGCAACATGAATGTAATGCTGATAAAACAGAACAAAACATTATCTTAATGTTTCTTGTGTAGCTAGTAGTTTAGTTCCAATTCTTGTTCTTAAGCTCAAAGGCTACAAACACCTTGTATTAAAATTTTAAAATTATAAAAATTATAAAACAAAACCTTGTTTTATAATTTCTATATTTTGCTTGCTGAGACTACAAAGAAACTTGATGAAATAAATAAAGTACAGCCTCTTTTGAAGATTATAATGAGTAATATATTTCAGAGTATTGGTGTGAAAAGGGGTTATAATGAAAACAGTTAAATTAAAGTGGGACTAAGCCTGAGTTCAGCTGAGGAAAGAAAAAGGAATAAAGAAGAGTCCATGCAGAGAAGSAGGARTAGAWYCCTAGAGGAAMAAGAGTTTTGAMRGAGGAAAWRGCTTAATTTTTAACCAAAATTAAARGGGGAATAAAAGCTCTTGAAAGGGCTCAACTGAAAAGTCATTGCGAAGAGTGAAAGGACCTTAGTTTTGGTGAGCTTTGACCTATGGGAAAACACGGCTTTCAAGGCTAATATAACAAAAGTATTTTTCTGTCACACAATAACATGCAGTAGAGAGTAAATGGTCACGGTGTTGAGGTAAGGACCATGGCACGTTCCATTTATCTGAGGCCTTATTAGACAAAAAACCTGAAAGGATGCCCTGGACATCAGGGGATGTCAGCTAAAATTGTCCTAAATTGTCAGCTTGAAAAAAAGTATAAACTGCATGGCTCTTAGGGGCCCTTGAAACAGAGACGGGAAGCAGATACTGGAGAAAGGACTACTGCAAAGAGCCAAGGATCAGCAACTATCCAAAGGGCTGTGAACCTAAGGCTAAGCAAATGCATTTTTCTTACTCCTTCCCCATGCTGTACAAGATAGAAAAAAAGTCTTTTTTAATCAACTCTCATTTACCAAAGACAACAATAATGGCCCTTTTTTAATTCGTTGGTTTTTTTTTTTTTCCTAAAATCCTTTGGCAAAAATTTATGTCTCTATAAAATGTTGGATATGTTGAAATCCCTTGGCCTAAACTGTCTTGAATGTGGAGCTCAGCAAACATTGAGGTTCATTTATAAGGCTGGCATATGAGGCTGTTCGTTTATAAGGCATTCAAATCAGGAATAATGAAGCTGATAGAGTGCTAAGAATACACAAATGCTGTTTGCTTTGTGAAGCTCTATACGGAATCCAATAATGAGTCTCGGGWTACAGGACAGTCTATCACTGCAAAGTAATTATTTGGTGACTGCTGAGCCAGCTGTGCTGAATTTACTTCTTGGAGTGTGCAGAATGCCAAAGCATCTTTAAATCTCAGTCTTTAGTTTAGATTAGACATGTTAAATGACAGTACATTCTTTATGACTTTTACCCTGCACTACTCTCCTGATCCTAAAAGGAAATACTCTTTGAGAYAGTACAGAACAAGGTAAGTTAGAAAGGAGTGTGAATAGAAGAAAAAGGGGTTTTTTACCAATTACTTGTCTTTTTAAGTACTCTCAGAGATGGTAACTGTAATACCAACAAGCTGGTGATGCCTCGGGACTGTGAGATCTGATTCTGCCCATGAGGAAACAGAAAAGGAGATACATTAATTCCAAAGAAAGGTAAGTGCTGCATGGAAAGAAAATCTCTCTGTATGCATGGATGCATATCTGGGACCYGCTGGTGACAGCTGTGAGTGGTTTTACTTGGGCTCACAGCACATGAAGTCACTTCACCCCAGAGCACCTTGGGGTGCATGAGCAGGGCTTAGCAAACCACTTGCAGTGCAAAGGAAAACAAACATGGGTCTCCTGGGGTCTAGTCCATTGATTTAGGCAAAAGCCRTAATGCCACAGCCTGTTTTTTACAGCCTGCACCACAGAATTCCATCTGCTGACCTAATTCCAGAGGCAGCAATAATCCAGGGGCATTGGGAGCCATCCCAGTGTTGGCAGCCCCTCCTGTGTTGGGCAGAATTTTCCTCTGGTCACCTCTGGGCTTCTGTGGCTGCCTGGAAGAGGCTGTGCTTGACACTGCTCAGTCCAGTGAGGGAGTGCCTGAGTTCTACATCCTGCACTTACTCAAAGGGAGACCTTAGAAAGGTCTTGCCACCAGAAGGGAGACTTTAGAAAAAGCAGTAGCTCTCAGTGGAGGAAAAAAAATGGTGATCTAACAGACATTTGAAAGACAAGACAAAGGAGAAATGTCAGACCCTCAGAGTTCTCATCTCTGATGTCCAAAGAAGTCCCATGTCTTGTTTTGCCACTGCTAGATCTAAGGAATCAAAACCTTAAGTGTTGAACMCTGCAGGAGAGGGCAAAAATGAGTCAGGGAAGATCAGCAAATGACAAGTGAGCAGGATGGACAGAGGATCAGACCCAGGAAAGGTTTCTCAGAGTGTAAATCTCTGTAAATGTCTGTTTTGTAGCCTAATCCAAACATTTCCTACAGCATGTGGGAGTGCTTGAAAACTCAGCTTCTGACCCAGACTGGGCTGAGTGTTGAGCAGGTAACTCTCCAAAATCAGCACATGGAGGAACCAGCCAGTGTGGAAATCCTGGGGTGAGGTCATCTTATCCACTCACACCTCATAAAACCCTGCACAACCCATCTATCTGGGAAATCCAAATCCGGGTTTAATGGTGCAGAACCTTGCTGTAAAAGTCCGTGTTTGTGACATTTAATTTTCAATTATTATCCCGAAGAAGTGAAGAAGACTATGCTTTCTCGTTAAATCCCATCTGGAAAAGCAGACAGTGAGAGGAGCAGCAGTAACAAGGCTCGGGTGAGAGCTGCAGGAAAAAAGGAGCGTACTGTAGGTGTCAGGTAGGTTATTTCACTCCAAGTGTAAGCCAGGAAACTGGGAGAGAGCAGTGACTCCCTGTGGTGCAGCCCCAGCAGTCTGTCCTCCCTGCCTGGAGAAGGCCAGGAGTCTCAGCTGAAACAAGCAGGATTTCACAGAATGTGCTTTTTTCTTTCTTTTTCCTTATTTTTCCTATTTTTTGTGTGTGTACATGTCTGTTTTCTTTTTTTTTTTTTTTTTTTTTTTTTTTTT